TATGGAGGTTCCTCAAAGATCTACAAATAGAACTACCATTTGATCCAGCAATCCCACTTCTGGGTATCTACCCAAAGGACAGGAGAACGCTCAGTCAGAAAAGTGCTTGCACATCAATGTTTATTGCAGCATTATTCACAATTGCCAAGACATGGAGCCAAACTAAATGTCCACAAACTGATGAATGGATTAGAAAAGTGTGGCATATATACTCTATGGAATACTACTCAATCATAAAAAATAACAAGACCCTGGCATTTGATAGAAAGTGGTCAGATATGGAGGATCTATCTATTGCTGAGTGAAGTAAGCCAGGCTATGAAAGAAAGATATTGTATGTATCCACTTAATATATACCGACTATCCGCACTCTATGGTAGAGAGTGAAATATTGGAGGACATTAAAGTAGTGAAATTACTTAACGAGAATAAGACAGTGTGGAATGGGGGGTTGAAGAGAAGAGGATAGAGAAAGATAGCAAGAGAATAATAGAGAGGCAGAACGTTAGTGGGAAACAGATATGGCTTATTACCTGTTGATGATGACATGTGTAGTATTCTCAACCTGATTGGTCTGAGAAGTATTTCATGATGGGTAAAGTCTTTTCACAAGCAAAATGAGAAATAGTGATGGACTGTTTAAAAAATAATTGGAATAATAATAATACTGATTGGGAAAAACAATGAAAAGACACTGAATGATGAAGTGGGTAGATTAATGTCTCTGTATTGACTGTCATGCATGGCATTCCCTTTTGTAAAAGCACTGTAAAGTTATATGCAATCCAATGTACTATAAACAAGATTATGATGACAATAAAGAAAAATAAATAATTAAAAAACAGACTTTATATACTTAAGGCTTTGGCCTCATCATGATATATCAATGTTTAACTTATATAATGTCAAAGTAAAATAATTAGGATTTTTTTCATTTTCAGAATTTGATATCAATTATGATGTTAAATTTCCTATAGACCGACATAAGCAGGCCACAAAAATCATAAAAAACTGCCCTGATTTTATTGATGAGGAACTAAGGCACAGAGGCTAAATTTCAAAATCACAGTTAGTTAGGTATATAACCACAAATAGAACTACTTTTTCAAAATCTCTCCAATACATAGGCTACCTGCAAAGAAAAATCCATCTTTAAAACATGGTACCATTTTATAAAGTGGTAAGGTAATAAAAATTACAGGGAATTTTAAGGTGTTACACAAATTTTATTTTGAACTACGCAAAATATAACTAGGCCAAATTTAGCCCAACTAGTAAACAGCATTCGTTTTGGACCTGAGAGGCAGATGTAGACCATTCATACCACTTTGTTTTCAATTTACTTAATAATATCAGACATACAGTTATTTCTAAATAAATTTAAATTCTCTGAAGCAAATGTTCAGTCATTTCTGAAGCAAATTTAAAATTTCTCAGAGACTGTCCTTGAGAAGGCAGTGCTAAAGTTGTGGCTTTTTTTTTTTTTAATCAGTAATTCAAATTTCCCGAAAGAACTATGTGACTTTTTACAGTGATAAAAGCATAATAATATATCCTTTGCACAAGAATGATTTTTATTACACAAATTTAATGAAGTTGATTTCTTTGGGTACACATTAAGTTTAGGAGGCTTTGTGCTCAGGTGTCACTGGTCAAATGCTATCACAAACCTCAGTATATGCCTCAGTTTCCAGCCACCAATCACAAGCTTGTAAACAGATAACTTATACAAATCAGGAAATCTGAGGAAGGGGAGAACCAGTGGCACAGACTTCATACCCAGGGATCTTTTCCATAATAGTAAAGACTGCCTTCTAATTTATCTATTTGATCACTTCCTATAAGTGATGTTCAAAATTTGATTACACCTTTCTTACACACATAAAGATGTTTCTGCATAAAGTTCTATTTTATAGTTAGCATATAGACCCATATGCATGAAATAAATATCACAAGTGAAAAATGAAAAGGTATATAAAGATAAATCACTTAACATTGATCATGAAGTTATTTCGGTTTAAAATAGAACTTCATAAAATAACAAACTTAAAATATTTTATCTATCAAACATATGTCATGGGAATTTTGATGTCACATTTGCATTCACTTGTATATAAACTAAATCAGCATTCTCAGTAACTTGACAAATTTTGTTTCCCCATGCAGGAAAGAATGCTTTAGTTGATCTGATTAGACCATATTTAATACTTGTATTTGAAAAGAATAACAAAAAGAATATTAACCAAACATGTCCATATTGGCTTAATTTTGCACAGACAATATTTTACATATATAGTACTTAATATGTATGAAATACTAGCCCCCTAGTCGTTCTTTGCACAACTTTAACTTTTCAAAAATCATTAGTGAGATACGATTTTCACATTTCTTATATACATCAGTATACATCAGCTAAAGTGCAATATTTACAATATGTTGTTTCAGAATATAAATTAGAATTCTTAAGAACTGCTTTTTAAAAACAATGCTTTTTTGGAACCAACATATGGCATAGTGGTTACTTTGCTGGACTCCTATATAGTCAAAGGAGGTTCAAGTCCTGATCTGGTGGCTTAAAATTCATGCCATGCGCATGTGCACGTGTGCCCAAAATCCTGAGAGGAGAATGGAGGAGAAGGATCTGCAGTGTAATCAACCCCCCGCAGGGTGATTTCTCACTTTCTGTCTCTCTGGAGACATGTGCCTGCATGTACCGTACAGAAAAAATCTCCTTAAAAGAAACCAAAAACAATGTTTTTGTGAATTTACTCCTGGATATGCTTGATAAAGTCATTATAGGTGGACTAGTAGGCTTGTATTTATAAAAACACATATGTTCTTTGTAAAGTGTATGTATATATACAGAAAGAAGAAAAAAATTCATCGCTATATAAACAACAATCATCCAGAAGTCATCCTACTAAGTTCAAACCAGTGTGTAAATTCAGTGTAAAATTTGCTTATCAGGCCTATAATATTCATAGACTGCTGAATAAAATGGTACAAGAAATGCTTGTAAGAAATGTGTTACAAACAAAGATCTTTAAAGATAAAATCTGCTTTAAAATAATAATGGTCCTGTTTCATTTGGGAAGAGCTTTTTAAAAAAATACTATTTTTAAAGGGCATATTTCAAACAAGGCTGAAAGATTAATTTGAAAGGAACCACTGCCCATTCAGGAGGTTTTATGTTACCCAGGCAACCACATATAATAAATAACGTTTCTTTGAGAGATATTTCAAGTCCAAAACTTCTGCAATTAAATTGGTTACTTTCTCAATTTGATTTAGTTCAGATATCCTTTAATTTTAAGATATTTCCGAGGGTTAACTTTTCTTGATGAAGTTGAAGGCTTTAGTGTTTTTTACTCATTTCAGAGCTGAAAAATTATCTTTGGCTATATTGAATTGCCTTCGTGGTTATCTTCTTTTGAAGAGTGATGATGGACTGGTTTATTCCTTTGCATTAGGGCATAATGTGGGCTAGCTCTGTAGAGTGGTGGTTGAGTCCTATGCATGGAAAACTGGATCCCGCATGGCTTACCATGGCCCGAAGGCCCAGCTCCAGGGACTTCAAAAACATGCCATGCATATGTGCATACAGGCTTCAAATCCTGATAGGATGGAAAAAGGAGGAGAAAATACTGTAAGGTGACTATGCCCCACTGGGGGGAGGGTGCTGTCTGTCTGTCTCCTTCTCTGTGGAGTACATGTGCCCACTGACAATTAAAAAAATGAAGTCACCAGGTTATGAGTTAAAAGTACATCGAAGAAGTCTGAGCAAAATTCATGTTTTGTTGTAAACACTTTTAATATAACCTGAGTCTGATTTCAGTTCTCTCAATGTGAAAGAAGTCTTTAATCGTCGTCATTTCTTTTACTGTTGACATAACTCCAGCTGTCTCTCCTGTTTTCTTCTTGTAGGATAGATTTGTATTGTCTTTTAAAGAAGCCAGCCTGAAAAATAGCATTGCATAGTCACTGGTGTATAATTATAAACATATGACACATTGAATATCTAAACACAACCAATATTTCTTAAACTATGTCTCATGTAACACTATTCATGAAGGTTTTCAACAGATATAAATGGCACAAATTAGTGTGGGACACATTGGGTTAAATAAGACATTTTTGCTGTTAATACAAGACTTCTCAGTGATACATGCATAGTCCTCCCAAGATTGACATATAATGCAATGTTGAAGGTTTTCCAAATACTTTTCTTTTTAAAAAGATTATTCAAAATAGTGTTATAGTTTGAGTATTTGTTGAAAATAAGTAATCTTTAAGAAGGTGTATTTTCCTAGGGACCAGCAGCTAGCTTAATGACTATGTCGCTGGATTCCCACGTAGTCGATCACAGTTCACGTCCCGGATCCGGTGGCTTAAAACTCACGCCAGGTGCCTGTGCGTGTGTGCCCAAGATCCCGAGAGGAGAATGGAGGAAAAGGGAATGTGGCATGGCTATCCCCCCTGGGGGGGTGATTTCTTCTGTTTCTCTGTCTCTCTCTGTCTGGTGAGTGCATGCATCCTATAGCAAAAACCTCTCAAAAAAAAAAAAAGGTGTATTTTCCTAGAAAAACTTTGTTATTGAAGTCAGCAAAATATTCACTTAGTAATTTAAAAAGTTAACATTAAAATATTGAAATAATTAAATCTTACAACTTGGGAGCCATGAATTGACTTTAAGAAAATAAAGAATATTGTTTTATTATTAAGGACTTACCTTCCACATAACACATGAAATCAATAAAAGTACAAAAAGCCCAAGTAGCAAACTACTTGAAATAATCACTATAGTGAAATGACGTTTGGGTCTTTGATGATGTAGTCCTTCCAGTAGAACCTACAGGAATTAAGCAAAATTGCCCACCAGTTTAGAAAGAAGCCATTTCCTCTGAAGTCCTTCCATAATCTCCAATAATAACCGGAAGTAACCCCTCTCATTCTCTTGCTGATTCTAACCCAACAATAAAAAACACTGATAACTATTTAGCAAAAACACAAGCAGAATGGGCTTTATCCAAGACTGTTCCTTCATTCCATCCTTTTTTCACTGCTAAATTCACCTTGCTAAAGGTTTGTATTATTTCTGCTGCCAAGTCTCAGAGAAGTATTCAAGATCCTTCATGATCCGGTCATACTCAACTTTCTTGACTCAGGTACTCAAAAGGAGGTAATTATAAACACCCTTGCAATATTTTTTACCTAAAGTTTTTAATGTACCAATTAACAGAGCAGTCTTACGTGTGCAACATTCTCATTCTTGTTTAGTTCAATGACATTTGGATGTGGCTCTGGAAAAGCTGTTGCTCTAATTTCAAACTTGAGTGCTGAAGTCTCATCCTATTTAATAAATGAAAGAAACTCATTTTAGTCACAGCTTTATCTCCTGAAGACACATTGATAGAAATATATAGTCTTTTCTTACTATTTTGATATCTTTACAGTTTATCTTCCTCCTTTTAATTAATAACCATTTATAATCAACTACAATACAAAATGTCATTTGGTTCCAAAGGCAGGGTCTTGATATTAATTCATATAGCATCATGTTATTGAAACTTTTACTAAACATGACTATTTTAAAGTTAGCTTGGTTTAAATATTATTTGATAGAATATTATTAGAGGTAAGAAACTAATGTATTTTTTATTGGGATATTAAATTTTTGTCTCCAAAGAAGACCTTCTTCACCTGATAAATATCAGATCCATCTTATTGGATTTAAAAAATTTTTTTCCTAAATGAAATACATTTAGTCTATTTACTATTTTAATGGAAATGTCTGGAATAAATAGTTATAGAACTCAAATATAAAAGTCAGTGGAGGGAACCAGTAGTTAGCGTAATGGCTATGTTGCTGGACTCCCACGTAGTTGACCGTGGTTCGCGTCCCGGACCCGGTGGCTTAAAACTCACGCCAGGCGCATGTGCGTGCATGCCCAAGATCCCGAGAGGAGAATGGAGGAGAAGGGATTGTGGCGTCACCATCCCCCCTGGGGGATGATTTCTCGCTTTCTGTCTCTAATGTCTCTGTCTGTCTGGTGAGTGCACGCGCCCTATAGAGAAAACCTCTCCAAAAAAAAAAAAGGAAAGAAAGAAAAAAAAAAAGAGAGAGAAAAAGTCAGTGGATGAATTCAGATTTACTACCAAAAGCAAGGATGCTATAACCCAGAATCCATAGAGCTATGGGTATGCTTTACAGGTTAGAAAAGATAAGAATATATTCTTTAGTCAGATTCTTAACAGTCTGTAGTCAGATTTGTAGCAGTCTACGACCCTCAAAAGTTAAGAACTGTTCCAAAATTAACCATGTAGAGCTGAAAATAAACTACAAGCTTCATCTATATCTAAAGCAGTGATTCGCAACAGGGAGACTCTGATCCTTTGGGGGACAGCCAGCAATGTCTGGAGACATTTTTAACTATTAGGACTTGGGAAGTGGTACTTCCAGCATCTCATGGGTAGAGTCTGAGGATCTGCTGAACATTCTATAATACACAAGACAACTTCTGAACAAGACAGAATTCTCTGTCCCTAAATGCCAATAGTGGTCACTGATGAGAAACCTGGATCTAGGGAGTATAAGATGGTTAAGTGCAAAAGGTTAAGAGACTTGCTGAGTGTCCATGACTTAGTTTATAGAAAAGTGGAAATGACAGCAGACATCTCTTCTTTACCTTCCTCTTAACTACCATATAGTAATTTAAATAACCCCATTTAAAACATAACATCTACCATTTCCTTTGGATCACTATATGCCCTACACTTATGAAGTGCTTGTAAAAATCATCTTGTTTAATCTGCATCACCTTTGAGATAGAGATGTTGTCCATAATGAACAAATGAGGAAACTGAAAAACAGAACTCCAGACAAAACTCATTTTATCTCTAAGTACTCCTCATAAATATACATGCCCTTTTCTAGGAAAAAGTCCAAGATATATTTAATTATTCTTTAATTCAACTTTTCAAAGTTCATTATTATGAAAGTGACATTTTATGGTGTTTTATTGTTGTTGATAAATTGTGATGTTTTGTTTTGATTTTATGGAAGTTTTATTTTACTTTTTGGCTTTGTTTTATATTTTATTTTTAATAATAATTTAAGGCAGTTTGGAAAAAAATGTAAGGTTATGCGAAATGGCAAGATAGCTCATTTCTTTTATTTAACTCAATCAAGGTTTATAGGCAGTTGGATATACTTTCTAAAACAAATTTCTTAACTAAACCTCTTAAATATTTCATAGTTTAATTCGTTTTTTTTTTTTT